AGAACAGAAGGAAAATCTATCTTCCAGTTAGCTCACCATATTCTACCTTATGAAGGAAAAATAGTCACAGGAGAGAAAGACCACCGATTCTCCCTTCTGGAAAACAGCAAACACTGGAATAAGCTCCAGGTAGTCAAAAGGGTGCCCAGTAACCTTTGAGGTAATTTGCATAGTCTTTGCAGTGATCCATCAGGCTGGAAGAAGGTCTCCTTCATATCCCAGATGTCCAAACTTCACCTTAGTTTCTGAGTTATCTATTATGGTAATGTAGTTAATGAAGAAGACATCTAGGGGCAATGAAAACAGTGTTGCTTACTGGTTGATCGGAGTGGACTAAAAACAGTCATTTTTGCTTCTTCTTCTCCTCCACTCACCACAACTAAGCCAATGCTGAGTTTTGCCAGTTTTAACCTGTAAATATGTCTTGAGTTCATCCATTTCTCTCGAATCATAATTCTGGCCCTTATCACCTCTTGCCTAGACTACTACAATACTATCCTAACTGGGTTCCATGTTTTCACTCTTGTACCCTTCACATTTATCCTCCACATTTTTGCTACAGTCATCTGTGTAAAATGAAAACTTGTACACATCACTTTTCTGCTTAAAATCCTTTAGTAGGTACCTGTCACCAGCAGGAGAGAACCCAAGCTCCCTACTATGTGAATCTTGCCTGCTTTGCCAGTTTTGTCTATCACAACACATGGTCCCACAAAACTGAGGTAGCTTTAATTTCCTAAACCTGCCATACTGTTTCTCGCCTCCTTATCCCCACTGCTTCTTTCTGTCTTTGTATTCTCCTTCACACAGCTTCTACCTCACACCCCCACCCCGACCCCACACGTATACCCCCACCTTACCCCACTCCCCAACATGGAGACATAGTAGCCTGGCTAACTCCCACTCAGTAAAAATTTGTCAAATCAATGACTACATCATCCTTCAAGACTCAGGTCAGGAGCCACCTCCTCCAGAAGTCCTTCTCTGTTTCCCCCACTGTTCCCAGAAACACTCTGTGCAGATCATTGTGCTACTATTATTTTAAGTAGCTGTCAGTTTATCTATCTTTTTTCCCCACCAGACTGTGAGCCACCTGAGGACAGGAGCTAAGCCCTGTTCATCTTTGGGAAATCAATTTTTCTCTCCCATGTGCCATCTTGGGAAGCTGTCACATGCCAAATTAGATTCCCCAAACTTCTCCCAGCCTCACTTAGTTTCAATGCCACACCCTCCTTTTTATCTCTACAAAGAAGTCCTACTCTCACTTGTTTTCTTATATCAGCCCTCCAAGGCAGATCAGGAAGAATTTGAATGTCCATTAAAATAGAGTCCAAATCCCTAGCAACAGAAACACAGTTCCTGGAGGACTCAGTAAGCAGAAATATGATGTCCTTACCTGCAGTCCCTGAAAAGTATGGAAAATGCTGCCATTTCTTGGTAGGGTTGGTAGCCCTTCCTATTAGAATACTCCCAATGCCTCTTTCTAAGAAAACAAAGAAAAACAAAAACAAAACCAAGTTGGTTTTCATATCAAGGTAGGTTGAACATTTCGGTTCTTCACGTTTACTTTTCAGTGCTCTTGGGGAATACTTGTTGAATGAATAGTAAATGAAGCTACGTTGCTTTTAAGATGCAGATTTTGAACAAAGATTTAACGAGATTGTAGTCAGACCTAGCTGCTGATAAGTACAGTCAGATCACCATCTTTCACTCATCAGTTATTTACTGAGCATCTATTATTTGCCTAGTATCATACAAAGAAGCATAACTTGGTCCTTGCTCTCAAGATACGTGGAAACTGGGTGCCTAGAGAAAATACCCATAAATCAAAAGCTAAATAAATTGAATCTTATGAAACGAGAGGTGTTCAAAAGGTAGAACTTGACCGAATGGCAAATGAGTGCTACAGAGAACAATTGTTTTGAGAACAGAGAAGGGAGAGGCAGGCACTCTATGCCATGGAGTTAAGTGCACATAGTATACTTTGGAGATAGGAATGCTCAGTGTGTGCCTGGGATGTTGACTTAAATCGCCTGGCTAATTAGGAGAGTTTTGGTTTGAGAAAATGATGTTGGATGAGCCCATGAAGACCTGCGGATTTCAGGATAAGAAGTGAGGTTTCATCTGTTAGGCCACTGGTTCTCAAACTTGGCTGCAAATTAGAATTACCTGATTTAAAAATGCTGCTGCCTGGATCCCACACCCAGAGATTCTGATTTAATTGGTCTGATGTACTGCCTCCAAAAGCAAGGGTTGTTAAAGTTCCCCACGTGATTATAATATACTATAAGTTTGAGACATTTGTTAAGCCATGTTGTTGTTAGGTGCTGCTGAGTTGAATCCGACTCATAGTGACCCCATATGACAGAGCAGAACCGCACAATAGGGTTTTCTAGGCTGTAATGTTTACGGGAGCAGATTACCAGGCCTTTCTTCTGCAGAACTGCTGATGGGTTTGAACCACCAGCCTTTCAGCTAGCAGCTGGCACTTAACCATGGTGCCACCACAGCTTCTTTTGTTAAGCCATACTGGTTTTCAGTCCTAACTATCAGAATCAACTGAGAGAACTTTTAAGACAATACCAAAGATAAGCCACAGAATAGGAGAAAATGTTTGCAAATTATATACCTGATAAGGAATTTTTATTCAAAATATGTAAATAACTATTACAACTCAGCAATAAAAAGACAACTCAGTTCAAAAATAGGCAAATAATCTGAATAGACATTTCTCTAAAAAGGACATACCAGTAACTAATAAGCACATGAAAAGATGCTCAATATCATTAGTCCTTAAACAAACAAAAAAACCCAAACCTGTTGCGACTGAGTGGATTCTGACTTACAGAGATCCTATAGGACAGAGTAGAACTGCCGCATAGGGTTTCCAAGGTTTCCAAGGTGGATTCGAACTGCTGACCTTTTGGTTAGCAGGCATAGCTCTTAGCCACTGCAACCACTTCTTATCCACTAGGGTGGCTATAATAAAAAAAAGATGGACAATAACAAATGTTGTCAAGGACGTGGAGAAACTGGAACCCTCATACATTGCTAGTGGCAATTTAAATGGTGCAGCTGCTTTGAAAAACAGTTTTATAGTTCCTCAAAAGTTAAACACAGAATTCACACATGAATCAGCAATTCTATTCCTAGGTATATATCCAAGATAATTGAAAACATATGTTTACACAGAAATTTGTACAGGAATGTTCATAGCAGCAATGTTCATAATAACCAAAAACGGAAACAACTGATAAATGGAAAAGCAAAATATGGTATGTTCATACAGTGGAATATTATTAGGTTGTAAAAAGTGATGAAGTTCTGATAGATGCTACAATGTGGATGAGCCTTGAAAACTCATGCTAAGTAAAAGAAGTCAGTCACAAAAGACCACATATTGTATGATTCCATTTATATAAAGTTCCCAGAATAGACAAATCCATAGAGACAGAAAGTAAATTAGTAATTGCCGTGTGTTAGAGGGAGGGAGGAATGGGGAGTGACTGCTAATGAATATGGGGTTTCTTTTTGGGATGATGAAAATATTCCAGAATTAGTGGTGATTGATGCACAACTTTGTAACTATACTAAGATCTACTGAACTGTATACTTCAAAAGGGCGAACTTTATGGTATATGAATTATATCTCAATATAATTAAAAAAAGAATGGGGAATAAAAACCCCACAATAACCCCCAACCTAGACTAATTAAATGAGAATTTATAAGAGTGGGACTTGGGCATAGGTACCCGTACTTTAAAAAAAATCCCTGATGTGCAGCCAGCACAGAGAATTACGTAGGAGATGAAAAGCTATTAGTGATTTAGTTCTATGAAGCTCCTTCCTTTCCAAAGCAAAAACAAAACACGTGAGTTGTTGAATTCAAATTCTGGTTAAATTATAAACTTCATTTAAATCTCATTTTATTGGCTTTTCAGTGTGGGTGTGTAGGGTGCTGCTTCAAATTATCATTTTTTTTTCTTTTAAAATGTTAAGTAAGTAGACAATTATTAGCATACCTCAAAACAATAGCAAAAAATGTTTTCGTATTGAAATTCGAATCTCTAGCTATTTCTCAGGTGCTTGGGGCTGACTTGAATTTTAGTTCTAGTTTTGCCTACCATTTGTTCAGTGACTTTAGACAAACCGTCTAATATCTCTTGGTCTCATACAGTCATTAAACAAACAAACACATAACACATTTGAATAGATTGTTATATGTCAGGCAATGGGACACAGGAGTAAACGAGATAGACATTCTCTTTCTTCATGGATTTTATAATCTTGTTTCAGGTTCTTTGCTTTCAAAGTGAAGAAATTGAACTAGATGGTATTGAGGTTCTTCGCTCTTTCATTGGGGTAACACAAAAGCAGAAGATGGACCAGAGAGAGAATTCTTGTGGGCCTTTTCTCTCTTCTGTGATTTAAGGGGACAAGTATGTGAATTTCTTGAGAAGGCTGTTCGCTGATAAATTAAAGCAAACTCTTTGGGTTACCTATCGTTTTCCGCCTTTATCCTACTCATGGAATGGCCAATAAAAAAGAGTCACAATGTTTCAAAACATTTTAATTCCTTCACAAAAGCCTGCATCGCAACTTAAAAACAGATATATTTGTACAGCTGTGTCAGGTGTTAAAAGCCATTTCCAAGTAAACCACCCAAGCAGGAAATCAGCGCAATGCACCATTAACATCCTAGGAATCCCAGTACAGATTCAAAAATTCAGAGTGTGGTGTCAATGACAACAGAAGGGCACGTTCTCCCTTCCAAGTGAAAACATGATCCATTGTTTCATTCTAAGCAGGAAAAACTAATATCAAAGTGTAAACTTTTTAACTCTAGGTATAATTATTTCCCAAAGAGCTCCTGCATCTTCGTCTGCCAAGAGAAAGGCCTTGCTGGCGTTCTGTTCATTTTGTTAATTAATACACCTTGATTTCAAGAAAAAAATTATTCTTACACCTTTGTTCTAAACAAATTATTTTTTTCCCTCAGAAAACAAGATTTTTGTGAAGCAGGCGCCGATGCTCGTGGCGTATAACAACGCAGTAAACCTTAGCTGCGAATATACTAACAACCTCTTCTCAAAAGAATTCCAAGCCGCCCTTTATAAGGGAGTGGATAGTGACGTGGAAGTCTGTGTTGTGAATGGGAATTACTCCCTTCAGCCTCAGTTTCACTCAAATACGGGATTCAACTGTGATGGGAAACTGGGCAACGAAACAGTGACATTTTATCTCTGGAATCTGTACGTTAACCAAACGGACATTTACTTCTGCAAAATCGAGGTCATGTATCCTCCTCCTTACATACTCAACGAGAAGAACAATGGAACCATTATCCACGTGAAAGGTAATATACAACTCTAACAATGTACCACCCTAAAGAAATGGTTTTCAACTGCAATCTTGAAAACTAGGTCATGGTCAGTGGAGGGATGGAATAAGTCCCAAGTGATGTGATATTAATAAAGTCAAATGATGTTTAATAATAAATAATAATAAATAAATGATCATTCATCGGATTATTTTCCACTGAGTGGATCATGGCAGAGAAATGTTAAGAACTGCCATTAAAATGTAAGTTCAGTGTAAGGAATCAAAAGAATTCCACTTTCCCTTCTCTGACACCACATGTTTGTTGATCAATCCAAATCAATTTGTTATCAATTCTGTTCCACTTCTGTTTTGACACCAGCTGCACATGCAGCACTTCTTCCTATGACCCCAGCACCCAGAGGTAGGTCAGACCTCACAAGTTAAAGGGCACAGTCCTCTAGACTGCCAAGTCTGCCCAAGACTTCAGACACCATCCACCAATTTGGGAGTCCCCAGGGCTCTTCTCGCTTCTGACCTGCTGGCTACAATTTCAGGGCTTTTCCTCTACCCCTTAGGATGCCAGCCATAAGCTTGGGGTTTCCTAGAGCCCCCTTACTTCTGACCTGCTGACTCTCACTACTCCTTTGGGTTTGATAATTTGATAGAATGACTCAGAACTCACAAAAGCACTTATGATTGTAGTTTTATTATAGGAAAAAGGATATAAACGAAGAGATGTATGGGTGAGGTGTGGGAGGGCTCCCAATGTGTAGCTTCCATATCCCAAAAATTGATGTACTACCTGCCCACATACATCAATGATTTTTGCCAACCAGGAAGCTCAGGAAGCTTCTGTGTCCAGAGCATTTACTGGGGCCTCATTATCTAGGTATGATTGATTGAATTAGTCCACCTCTCTTGAGGTCAGCTGATATCACAAGGTGGTCTTTCTGGACTGGCAAGCCCCTACTTAAATTATCTCCTTAGCATAAACTCTCAGGTGTGGTCGGGAGACCCATAGATAACAAAGGCACCTCAGTTACTGTGGACATTCCAAGGAACCAAGGACAAAGGCCAAATAACTTTACGTAAAGTTTACGTAAACCCCACACTTAGGTACCCACAAGAAGAAGCTGGGTTTAATGGATCAGGACTCAGGAAGAATGGATTCTATTCCCAGTTAATTCTCAGACTTGGGCTCTTAGTCTTTTTGTGTTCCATGGTCTTCCTCTGCAAAAGTACCCTCCCATTTTCCAAAATTAGTCCAGAGGATGCTGGACTAGAAATCAGGGGACATGAAATTTGCTATTAACCAACTCAGTGATCTTAAGTGACCCAATTCTTCATTGCCTAAAACTCAATATTATTAAGCAGTATTCAGGAATCAGTGGAAATAAATTTATTGAGTTTATGTTGACATTTACTCTTTCTAAATGTTGGGAAGAAAAATCATTAGACTTCCAAACTCAAAAAAATGCAATTTATTGCTAAGAACAAACAAAATTGAGAGGGGGTAAATACATTTTTTTGTACATTTCATGTATACACGACAGCTTTTTCTTTCTATAGAATGCTAAATAAGAAATAAGTTCAGTTTTATACTTCTTAATACTGGTATAATTCCAATAAATGTTCTCTCTTCTATGTCAGAACAGAGCTTTGCTGATGAAAAATAAGATATTATTTTAATTAATTTATTTATTAAGGAAGGAAGGCACCATTAGCTTAATATGGCAGAGTAATTTCTGTGTTCTGGCAAAATAGAGGCAATTAATGGGTGAAATTTTGCTTGCCGAGTCCCATTCAAATTTTTAATACCTATAATATCCTGGCAGAATATTATAGTTGCATCAAGTCAAAGGTTAAAAAAAAAAAAAAATCATGCAGACTAT